TTGAGGGTGGGGAGGAGGAGGGGTAAGGATAATTGCCATCACTTAAGCAGGGGTGACTACAAGGACAGTGGCACCATTAACACAGCCGGGAAAGACAAAAGAAGGTACAGGTGGGGGCAAAGGCGACCAGTCTGTTCCTGGACAGTGAGTTTGAAGGGTGACCAGAAGCCCACCCTGGAGGAGGCCACCAGGCAGCTGGCTGAAAGCACAGTCTGCAGCTGCAGAGAGAAGCCCCAGCGACAGAGCCGAGGGGCACAGAGATGCACCGTGTGACTGTCCTCCGAGGGGCACAGACACATCTGCAACCAGGCCTGTCGTGGAGACACACGCACAAACTACCCTGGCCTTTCTCAGAATGTGGCACATCGTCCACTTACCAAACTTCAGAGGCGAACAATAACCAGTACGGCTCAGGACAGAGAAAACATTATCCTCCCTCTACAGCGAAACCCACAAGAAAGTTTGTTCTGGCTTTGCTACAAAGGGCCCATTCACAGAGACCCCAGCTCGAATTTTCTGATTAGCATCTCCTCTGCCACCTCTGAACCCTGTGTGGCTGATTCATCCTTCTCTGCTTCCAAAACGGTCCACCAGCGTCCGACCCTCCTGAGACTCTGTTTCATGCTTCGTTGAAAAGTTTGGTGTCAATATGCAGCCCCACCAGTCTGACTGCGACTCTGGAGATAAAATACTTTGATTGTGTCCCAAGTGAGCAATCCTTCTGAGTAATTTTAAGCTGTAAAGAAAGGGAGGGGCCAGCGCCCCACCCCTTCCTCACAGCCAGCCTGGGCCTCCAATGTCAGTGATCATTTCTCACCCCAAAGAGCTTTTCGCGACCAGATGCCAGGTCCTTCACAAATCCATTTGAATGTGTGCAAAAGAATCCCTGCTCGCTTTCAACACATGTATTTACTTATGTATGTATAATTTACCTATTTATACAAAAACAAACACGCATATAAAATTTATAAAATATACTTCAAAGTTGTTGTCCGTACCCTTAAGGTCAGGCTCAAACTGGAAATTTTGAGAAAAGGAACCATTACGGCCTGCCTCCTGGCAAACTCGGACCAAAGGGAAAAGAGGGAAGTAAGTTACTAGAATGCATAGTGTAGAGGTGAGATCACAACCAGAGGAGGGTCACCCACCGGGACAAACCTGCCCAGGTTCCCCCTCCTCCGCCGCGAAGGTTGGCACGGCTCCACGTTCTCATTTTCATCCCCCACTCACCCGGCGAGCCCCTGATGTCCCCCGAGGGCAGGCACTGCTACAGGCACCCCCAGTGGCCCAGACAGAGCCCACAGAGTATTCACAAAGGGGACAGTGACGAGGGACGAAGAAACAGAACACGTAGCACTTTCACAGAAGTGGCGACATACGCAGAATTTACCCAAATCCATAAGGCATCAGATCAGTAAACAGCTTGAGGGCAGCACCTGTGCTGCCATATTCACATCCACTTCCCCCAGGGCCCAGTCAGGGCCTGAGTGAAGTGTGGGTGGAAGGGCAGATGGACGGATGACCGAGGACTGGCTGAATCAGGAAACAAATCCAAAGGAACCATGAAGTACTAAGTGACGCTGTTGGCAGGTAACACACTGGCTTTAGCCATCATCTTAAAGCCCTCACCAACAGTTTTGAACTTCATCAATAGGCAGGATACTTTCCAAGAGAACATTCGGCTTTAATCTTATAATGGAAGTCAACAAGAAAACAGGATTTGCATTACTGTAGCAAATGAAAAAAAATACATATGCACTGTCTAGACTGCTTTGCTAGAACACATTCACTCCTTAAAATTTAAAAGAAATCTGTGTTTAAATCATATTGGCTACATTGTTCTCAATGGTGAAAAACTGAAACCATTTCCACTAAGATCAGGAACAAGACAAGGTTGCCCACTCTCACCACTATTATTCAACACAGTTTTTGGAAGTTTCAGCCACAGCAATCGAAGAAAAAGAAATAAAAGGAATCCAAATCAGAAAAGAAGAAGTAAAGCTGTCACTGTTTGCAGATGACATGATACTATACATAGAGCTTCCTAAAGATGCTACCAGAAAACTACTAGAGCTAATCAGTGAATGTGGTAAAGTAGGAGGATACAAAATTAATGCACAGAAATCTCTTGCATTCCTATACACGTAATGATGAAAAATCTGAAAGAGAAATTAAGCAAACACTCCCATTTACCACTGCAACAAAAAGAATAAAATACCTAGGAATAAACCTACCTACGGAGACAAAAGACCTGTATGCAGAAAATTACGACACGGATGAAAGAAATTAAAGATAATACAAACAGATGGAGAGATATACCATGTTCTTGGATTGGAAGAATCAACATTGTAAAAATGACTATAGTACCCAAAGCAATCTGCAGATTCAATGCAATCCCTATCAAACTACCAATGGCATTTTTCACAGAACTAGAACAAAAAATTTCACAATTTGTATGGAAACACAAAAGACCACGAATAGCCAAAGTAATCTTAAGAAAAACAGAGCTGGAGGAATCAGGCACCCGGACTTCAGACTATACTACAAAGCTACAGTAATCCAGACAGTATGGTACTGGCACAAAAACAGAAATAAAGATCAATGGAACAGGATAGAAAGCCCAGAGATAAACCCATGCACATATGGTCACCTTATTTTTGATAAAGGGGGAAAGAATATACAATGGAGAAAAGACAGCCTCTTCAATAAGTGGTGCTGGGAAAACTGGACAGCTCCATGTAAAAGAATGAAATTAGAATACTCCCTAACACCATGTACAAAAATAAACTCAAAATGGATTAAAGACCTAAATGTAAGGCCAGACACTATAAAACTCTTAGAGGAAAACATAGGCAGAACACTCTAGGACATAAATCACAGCAAGATCCTTTTTGACCCACCTCCTAGAGAAATGGAAATAAAAACAAAACTAAATAAATGGGACCTAATGAGACTTAAAAGCTTTTGCACAGCAAAGGAAACCATAAACAAGATGAAAAGACAACCCTCAGAATGGGAGAAAATATTTGCAAATGAAGCAACTGACAAAGGATTAATCTCCAAAATTTACAAGCAGCTCATGCAGCTCAGTATCAAAAAAAAAAAACAAAAAACAAACAACCCAATCCAAAAATGGGCAGAAGACCTAAACAGACATTTCTCCAAAGAAGATACACAGATTGCCAACAAACACATTAAAGGATGCTCAACATCACTAATCATTAGAGAAATGCAAATCAAAACCACAATGAGGTATCACCTCACACAGGTCAGAATGGCCATCATCAAAAAATCTACAAACAATAAATGCTGGACAGGGTGTGGAAAAAAGGGAACCCTTGGGCTTCCCTGGTGGCGCAGTGGTTAGAAGTCCACCTGCCAGTGCAGGGGACAGGGGTTTGAGCCCTGGTCTGCGAAGATCCCACATGCCGCAGAGCGGCTGAGTCCATGTGTCACAACTACTGATACTGCGCTCTAGAGCCCGCGAGCCACAATGGCCGAGCCCACGTGCTGCAACTACTGAGGCCTGCGTGCCTAGAGCCCATGCTCCACAACAAGAAAGGCCACCGCAGTGAGAAGCCCATGCACCACAACAAAGAGTAGCCTCCACTCACCACAACTAGAGAAAACCCGCACACAGCAACAGAGACCTAACACAGCCAAAAATAAATAAAATAAATTTATTTAAAAAAAAAAATGGAACCCTCTTGCACTGTTGGTGGGAATGTAAACTGATACAGCCATTATGGAAAACAGTATGGAGGTTCTTTAAAAAAGTAAAAGTAGAACTACCATATGACCCAGCAATCCCACTACTGGGCATATACCCTGAGAAAACCATAATTCAAAAAGAGTCATGTACCAAAATGTTCACTGCAGCTCTATTTACAATAGCCAGGACATGGAAGCGACTTAAGTGTCCATCGACAGATGAATGGATAAAGAAGATGTGGCAATATATACAATGGAATATTACTCAGCCATAAAAAGAAACAAAACTGAGTTATTTGTAGTGAGGTGGATGGACCTAGAGTCTGTCATACAGAGTGAAGTAAGTCAGAAAGAGAAAAACAAATACCGTATGGTAACACATATATATGGAATCTAAGAAAAAAAATGTCATGAAGAACCTAGGGGTTAGACGGGAATAAAGACACAGACCTACTAGAGAATGGACTTGAGGACATGGGGAGGGGGAAGGGTAAGCTGTGACGAAGTGAGACAGTGGCATGGACATATATACACTACCAAATGTAAAATAGATAGCTAGTGGGCAGCAGCCTCATAGCACCAGGAGATCAGCTCGGGGCTTTGTGACCACCTAGAGGGGTGGGATAGGGAGGGTGGGAGGGAGATGCAAGAGGGAGGAGATATGGGGATGTATGTATATGTATAGCTGATTTACTTTGTTATAAAGCAGAAACTAACACATTGTAAAGCAATTATACTCCAATAAAGATGTTAAATAAATAAATAAATCATATTGGCTGAATAACAGACACAGGCAGCACACACCCACCATCTGCTGACACAGGGTAATGAACAAGCGTAACATTTTCCAGCTCACTGGAAGAGAAGGCTCTCGAGAAACATGCTACCGCCTTATTTTGTGTTCTAGTAATAATATACCTCGCTTGGACCCATAAAGGGAATTAACGGCCAGCCCATCGGAATGGAAATTATAAAAAACAGCTTTACAGCGGGGTTCAACAAGCCTTTTTCCGTAAAGGGCCGGAGAGCAAATATTTCAGGCTTTGCAAGCAAGACAGCCTCCGTCACATCATCATCTTTGCTTTTTCAGGTTTATTTTCTGTGTGGTTTTTCCCCCCCACCCCCAACAATGCTATGAAAAATGTAAAAACCATTTTTAGTTCCCAGGCCATACAAACCGTTGCTGGCCGACCCGCCTTAGACCATGGTAAGAAAGAATAGGACGCTTGGAGTCCCAAGTCCCTCCCAATTCAACCCAAGGGGCAAATCCCCGTCCATGTCCGATTTACCTCCTTCAGCCTCTCCAGCTCGTTTTGGAGGGCCTGTTTGGATATCTCCACTTCAATCATCTGTTGTCGTAGAGCTTCATTCTCATCTTCAGCTTTAGCTCTCTTTTCCTCCACAGTTTCAAGTTCATGGTGCAACCTGACCGACACATCTTTGGCCACCTGCATCAACCCACAGAGACCGTCATCAGGATGGGAAGCTTTCTGCGTGCTAAGGGTACCTCCAAACAACTTCAGAGGCAGAATCATTAAGGAATATTATATTACACCAAAGAGCAAAGACCCTGGCAATATTAACAAGCCTAGCTTTAAAGGGGGAAGGTATGAGTTTGAAACATGAAATCCACATTAAGGGAAAATATGACATTCATCTGGATTAAAAGCCACTTTGCAAGGCCCTGCTCCTTCTAGAATAGCAATATCCCAGGAGCACATGCTTTAAATGACAAGTTAAAAATCATCACCATCATCACCAAAAAAATAAACATTTCTGTTCCCCAAAATAATACAAAACCTACCTGCTTAAAAAAAACAAATGAAGTAATTCCATACGCAGTAGATGTTTCATGTAGTCAAGTTTTAAATTGTCTACTCTGGTAAAATATTTGAATGCTAAAGGCAGTTAAACACTTTTACTTTATAAAAGGAAATAAAGAAGGAGATTTTTGTGAGAGAAATATAAATCACCTTTTTATCACACTGAATGACATTTTGTTAGTGGTTTATAAATTTGATAGTTCCAAAGATTCTTTCTGTTATTATAATGAAAGGCTAAATGAGATTTCCTAAGGACTCGTCTAATAAGGAGGACATTATACATAATTCATCTCTAGATAAATGATTTGATAATTGGGGCAGGAGAGAAGCCATGGTGGAGAGGACAAATGGAATAAAGTCTGGGATTTCTTCACCTCATTCCCACTTCCACCAACGATTCTCAAAGACACTTTAGACAATTAGTTATGTTCCTATTTCTCTTTCAGTTAAATCACCACTACAAGTCTTACTTGGGTTATGGTACTTTCAGGTTTTCTGCATCCTAGAAACTCAAATAACCAAAAGAAAAAAATTTAAGTGGCTATGACCAACTTTTTTTTCCAGACGCTCAGGCTCAGCGGTCATGGCCCACGGGCCCAGCCGCTCTGCAGCATGTGGGATCTTCCCGGACCGGGGCACGAACCCGTGTCCCCTGCATCGGCAGGCGGACTCTCAACCACTGCGCCACCAGGGAAGCCCCCGCTCACTCACCTTTAAGTCCTGCTCCAGACTTCGGATGAGCTCGCCATCCACCTGCCCGGTCTCTGCCACCTTCAGGCTCTTCTGCTCAGCCTTTCTGAGGCGGTACTGCAGGATTCGGCAGTTTTTATTGGCGCGGTCCAGTTCCCGCCGAAGCTCCTGCAGCTGGTAAACATCTTCCTCTAAGTAACTGTCTCTCATCTCTTCCATTTCAGCACGGAGTTCATCCAACTCATCCTACACAAGCCAGACAGAGGAAATTGAGAAGCCAGGTCCATCAGAAAGGATGGAGTCATCCATCCACCCCTGCTCTGCGATACTGTGAACCTTCTGCACAGTTACCTGTCGGCTTCTGGCCGCAACTGTGTGATACGACACAGGGACTCTGGAAATTCTCACGCAAGACAATTATCACCAGATGTCTGTTCAGATCTTATAGATCCAGAAGCCAAAAACGAGCATGGATTATGCATTGCAGGCTCTCAGCATTTATCCTGCTCCCAATCTTTCCTTACATAATCATCACCATAAACGAAGTCATCTCTGCAGATAATTAAACCTTTAGATTCAAACCAAACGCTGACCTAAACCCGCATCTCTAAGACACAATCTAGGCAGTAAGACAGACACTGCCTGCAAAGAACACAGACTTTAATGGGGTCATAACTGAATTGTCTGGGAATTATAACATACCTGCAAATGTCCCTAAAATTCTGTCTTGACTAATGATTCTAAAGATAAAACCGGGAGATCAGCTCAGTGCTTTGTGACCACCTAGAGGGGTGGGATAGGGAGGGTGGGAGGGAGAGGCAAGAGGGAGGAGATATGGGGATATATGTATATGTATAGCTGATTCACTTTGTTATACAGCAGACACTAACACACCATTCTAAAGCAATTATACTCCAATAAAGATGTTAAAAAAAATAAAGATAAAACCTCGTGCGCTGTTTTTTTCCCATTCGTCTGCCCTGCATTTCCCATCTCCACTCCACTCTAGTGTCAACATGAAGACACGTGGGTACAGGAGAAACCCAGGAGTTATTCCTGGCTCCCTCCCCGCCACATGCCAGGCCACAGCCAATGCAGTGCTGTCAGCTCAAAGTCCAAATACCTGCGGCTCTCCCGCCTCTATCCCTCTCAAGAGAGCCACAGGTAAGACTTACAGAGGTAAGCCCATCCGTCACCTGGGTGCCCCGCTTCCCCTCTATAGCTCAGGCTCCACCCAGACCTACCCTTTTCATAAGTAACTCAGACCTCCTCCCCCTACTCATGCCCTCCAGGGGGCTCCACATCACAGAGAAAGTTCTTCCAGGTCCTCCCCAGCACCTGCATGCTACCCCCTCCCTTCCCTGCCACCCTGTTGCTTCCACAGGGTCCAGGCAGCTGGAGGCCTTTCACCTGTTATAGCCTCCCCAGCTCTTTGCGGAGCTCAGTCACACGGTCACACAACTTGGAAGGCACACAATGCCACCCCCTGCCATCCCCCACCCCCCCAGTCTCTAGTCCAGGCCCTGCCCCTCCCACCACCTCATGTTATCTATGTTTCTTCCTGTTCATCATGTGTCGCCCGCCCAGGAAGGTAAGCGCCAGGAGGGCAGACACCTGGTGTCTCCCAGTGTCCAGGGCAGCGTGAGCCACACGGCAGGCCCTCAATAAATATTTGTGGAATGACTACCCATGAACCTCGGTCAACACCTAGAAAGACCAAATCCTAAACAGGACCCAAACCAGACATCCGCGCACACTGGCTTTGTTCCAGTCTTGCAGTCTGGTCCTGGAAAATTCTTCCCAAACCCATAGACACAGCCGCAGCACGTAATGAGATATAAATTCTATTATAAAGACTTCAACAAGGAGCAATTTGGAAGGCGGGAGATTAAGAAAAGCATTCTAGAACTGTCTTGATTAGTTTGATAATTGATGGCATAAATGTCTCCAGATTAGGGTACACTTGTTCATCGTTTTGTTTTTTTTTTTTGCCACACCACGCAGCTTGTGGGATCTTAGTTCTCCGGTCCCTCGGCAGTGAACATTAGGAGTCCTAACCACTGGACCGCCAGAGAATTCCCTATTCCCATTTGTTTTGCTCAATTAATACTGAGGCTCAAGGGAAACACTCTCCCAAACGTGGACACCCTAACCTGTCAGCTCTCACCCTATTCAGTTTGTTCCTGGAGTCTGATCACCCTTACTAATCCTGCATTTATTCTTAAACCCAGGGATTTATTTACAATAAAGAACATGAGTTTCCTAACACCAGAGCCTCAGGTAGACAAGAAGTTGACTAGAAAGGAATCTCCTAGAAGAGTATCCTACCCTGGGTAAGATTAGGTCCAAGAAGTGTAACAAACGAATTGGGAAACTGTGGAAAAATACAGACTGGCACCAACAGGGTGAAAACAATTGTCCAGCCAACCCCACCTGTGTGCAGCCATCACCTATATGGGAAAGGGCACAGACGTGGCACCTCATTCCCCCAAGCCCCAGTCTGTAGGTTCTCCCACTCTGTCCACACCACCTGACCAAGAGCATTACCTACTCAGTTGACCATGACTCCAAGTGGAGCCTGTTTCAACGGACCACCAAGGAGAACGGATGTCAAAGGGGAAAGCTTTACCAACATTCCTAGTAGTCAAACGAATAAAAATGTTTTTGTTCTCATCTGCTACGTGTTCTTACAGAATTTCTGTACCAGTGATGACAGCCTCATTAAAAATATAAGATGTTCTCATGTGTCTTAAGAAAGTTAGATCTTAATGTTGAAAATGTTACGATGGAAAAGCAAGTTTCACTGCTGTTTTTTTCCTCGTGGAGATCTCTTCCTGTCAATCTTGTTCCTGGTAGGAAAATTTGTTGGCACTGGGAGTTACTGGGCCGAGCACAGAGGCCGGTCACTGGAACATCCATGAAGAGAATGGACAGGCTGGGCTCTTCAGGTGCCTGGAGAACCCACCTATTTAAGGAAGGTCCTTTCAAACTGCAGCAAAGAGGTTGTTCCTGATGCCTGATCACTGCACTGAGCCATGGAAGCTGTGCCCTTGACCCAACCCACGCTGGAGGAGACCAACTACCGGCTGCAAGCTTCAAAACAGGCCTGTGCATGCCATCCTCCCATAAAGAGTAGAGAGTTAGGGCTTCCCTGGTGGCGCAGCGGTTGAGAGTCCGCCTGCCGATGCAGGGGACACGGGTTCGTGCCCCAGTCTGGGAAGATCCCACATGCCGCGGAGCGGCTGGGCCCGTGAGCCATGGCCACTGAGCCTGTGCTCTGCAACGGGAGAGGCCACAACAGTGAGAGGCCCGCGTACCGCCAAAAAAAAAAAAAAAAAAGTAGAGAATTAGTCCTGAATCTTCAAAATCGAGGTCAAGCTTCACTCAGATCCCATCTGTGAATCTGATCTGACTTTGAGAAAGAGCCTCATCTCTACACACGTCTGAATACAGTTAAAAGTTAATTGTTACACTGGGTAACTAATAAAAAATAGTTCAATACAGGCAATAATCATTATACGTATGTACACATACAAATATCCAGTGGTGTTGGGCATTCCATTTACGGAAGGAACTGTTTACGATTGCTTTTCCTTCTAGAAAGCTCATCAAGTCATTAATGCTTGAAATGATCTATTATTCAAACACGAGTTTTAAAATGTGACATAGCCATAAAAAGACATGATACGACTTGCAGGTAAAAAATGTTCTCTGGTTTTCAGACTTCGTAATGGGGGTGGCATGGGGTTGGGGGAGGCCCTCATCGGCCCAATGTTAAACGCTGGCTACGTTCTATGGACGCCTACACCCCCGCTGCAGGCTGAAAAAGTCTGTTCCGGGGCTAGACGAACCCACACCTCCAGATCACCGAGTAGGCCACATGTAAACAGCTAATATTTTTTGGCATAAATAATCACTAACATTAGTTGCACTGAAAAGAAAATTAGGGGGAGACCATAATTGCATGTATTTGAATCACTGCTTTTGTACCTCATTTTATCTAAATCTGTAGAACAGAAGGCATCCTTTATTAAGCACTTTACCTTCATTACTAAGCCTAAAATAACCCTGCCAGGGACACACGGCCCCCATTTGACAGACAAGGAGGCAAAACCCAAGCCGGTAAACACATCCAAATCCTCTCAGCTAATAAATGGAAGCCCAGCTACAAACCCAGGCTGTCTGGTTCCATACACATGCTCTTTCCGGTAAGTGCTAGAAATTATCTGCAACAACCAGGACAAATGAAACAATAAGCTTTAAATCATATTTTTAGAAGTCCACCGTCGGTGTAAAATAATAAAAACAAGCTAACATTTAGACCTTGACATTGTCAACGTGCAGGCATACTTATTTTCACACTTGGTCCTCACGAAAGTATTATAATATGCAGAAAAGGTATCAATACCCCCGTTTTTAAAATGAGGACACTGAAATTCTAAAAGTTTAAATGCTTCCCAACACTAGCCTGTAGCAGAGATGGGACGAGGCCAGGGTTCCAGCTCTTTTCATAGAGCCTTGAAAAAAGCAATTTTCAGGTTCAATGAAAAGAAGTTCGAAGAAAAGCGAATTATGAACCACGTAAGCTAGCAGCAGACATTTGAAAAGCCAAAACTGTGATTATTCCGATTCGGGTCATGACGAGAGTGATTTTCAAACTAACATTACATTAATTTTCTGACAGCATGCTCTAATTTAGAAAACATTAAAGAACCTTAAAGATGTCTGCCACTTAAATGCTTAAAAAAAAAACCAAGTCAAGCAGAACATATAATGTTTCTGGCAGACAACATTTACACAAAGTAAAAGTGGAAAATTGTTGTTTTTTAATATAGATATTAAGAAAAAACTGCCCTTAATCAAGTTTTATATTGAATTAATATTAGGTCTGTCAGATACTCAAATGTTAGATCATTATCACAGTGAAAAGCTAATTTAGTTTTAACTAAATATACTTTTCAAATTTCGTATGTAAAATGAAATCTTGATGTAGTGGGAAGTTCCCCAACTACTCCCCTTTGCCTGCAGATAACAATCAAACGTTATTTTACATCTATTGGACACATATCAAATTCGAGAAATAATGTACCATGTGTGCACTAGAATAAACCAAGATTAAAATTTCAACGAAAACCTCTTTGCAGGTAGTTTTATCCACCAATATAAAAACCAAATCCACACGGTAAAAGCGGTTGAAAACTCTTGATTATACTGCCAATCTTACCAGATCTTAATCGCCTTTAAACAACCTGAAATCAATAACTAGTCCTATTTTAATCACCCCTCCCTAAATAGACCCAACTTAGACAGTGAGGGCAGTCACAGCTGGCTACTGTTGCAATAATTCCCTCTTCTGGGAGTTACAGACCTTATCCTCTGTTGTAATATACAATGAATCCACCTCGCTTCCCTCCGGACAATGGAACTCTCTGCAGAGTCCCAGCTGAGACTCAGAAGGCTCAGGGACCCTTCCCAGTGTTTCCCAAGCACAGTTCATCCAGCAGCGACAGCCCTGTGTTCCCTGGTCTACATGATCTTGCCACCTAAGGTGATTACTGCCGCTTTGAAGGCTGAATAAAGAGTGGGTGTGGAAAGCAGAAGGTCAGGAAAGAATAGGGATACTGTCTGCTTTAACCTTCCAGAAGAAGGGAGGAGGGCCCGGGGCCGGGGAGGGAGGGAGGGGCTGAAGCGCCTCATGCTCAGAACTGTTTATTCCTGCCTCCGTGTCCACCCCACCTCCACCCTTTCCAGGCGGCTGAGCATCTGGGCTCTGAGCAGGCAGATTTAACCAAATCCTTTCAGACCTTGAAACTCCAAAGACTCCAAGTGAGACGCAGGATGGTGAGGCTGGATCGGCGCTGACGCACTGCAACCTCTCAACCCAAATGGCCTCACCAGCGGTCTCCCTAAGAAATCACTCCTCTCCAAGAATCCAATAGTACCTGCTCTGTAGCTAGCGCTGACTTTTGTTTTAACCAGAAATAATTCTTCTGAAGTAACTGAAAAGGCAGAGCAAACTCAGCAGCCCTTCCCCCACTGACCTCGCGGGCCCCACAGGACACGGGCACTTTGGGGTACACTATTTGAGGGCAGGGGGAATGGTGTCGTGCGAGCATCCCCAGTAACGCGAGAAGCATTTTCAAAATAGGCCAATAAACTCAAAGCGATTAAAACCCTCCTGAAAAGCCTGTGAAAACAGGGAACATAATTAATATGTTCACAAGGAGCTCTAGGGCTTGTCTGACTGTCTTGGAGCAATCGAGCAAAATCGCAGTGGCGGTGGGCAAGGAACACTCCAGCAGGGTTTCGTGGACGCCCGCATCACTAACATGGGCCTGGGGCTGGTCTGAGAAAGAAGCAAATGTCTTTCGATAACTGAACTCAATCTCGCACCTTAATTCCTGAAGCCTTCGGAACACATGTGAGTTCATCAGCGGTCAAGGGCCAAGCGGGCTTTTCTGACTGTGCTTTCAGACAAAAAGCCAGCTACCCGGATCAATTATGCACTTCTCACCTAGTCACCACGTTGCCCTGGGATGACAGCAGGAAAGCAGGGTCAGGGGTGGCCCCGTACAGCTCCACACCACAGAAGGGGGCACTTCTCTGTTGACAGTTGATTTTTAAGAAAATACAGCAGGCTGGTAAAAACCAAGAGAATTCCCCTCAAATTTCCTGATCAGCAACACATCCTCCTACAGTTCTGAGGCCTTAGTTTTCTGCTTGGATTACTCTTAGGTCATTCTAGCTCAGAAACCGTCTTATACAGTAATGGTGGCAGAACTGGCTCAGGAAAGCTTGTAGTACTTGTGGTCACCATCCTCCACAATATATCAGAGGAAAATTTCTGGGTGGAGTCTCCTTTCTAATCGCGAGAGTTCTGGGCAGCATTCCCTAAGAAAGCATTAGGTCACGGGCTCGCTTTTATCTACCATCAAAAGAAGTACCAGTGAGGACAAGAGCAACAAAAAGAGACGTTTGGGCTTATAACGCACACACTCTAAACCTCACGTGCCAAGCAGGCCTACAGCAAAAGTCATTGCCCAGGAGGTCACTGATGCTCCCAGCCCCATTTTGCACAAGCGGGTGGGCTCGCTGGCCTTTAGAAAAGTCTAGCAGGGTTGTTGTCTTTCTTTCCCACATTGAACTACTGTCATTTAAGCTTTGAATAGCCAATCATGTAACTCACACTATGTGTTGGTGATCATTCTTCTGACTTCCTAGCCTCCCCAGACCTCCTCTATCTCCGCTTCTCTCCTGTCAGAGGAAAGGCTGGGAGATGGATTCAGGCATCATAAATGGTCGGCCGTGACCTTTTCTCCACAGGAAATGGCAACTGACATTTCCCACAAATTAAACATTGTCAGTGGGGTTTATGGGACCATTTGTCCACAGGCTAGTGGAGAGGTGTTCTTGGTGGCCCTTTCACCTAAAAAGAGGGCCCCTAGGAAAGCTAAACGCTGGGAACACTTTGAGCTAATAAACTCTAAGGCAAGCGTGTGCTCAGAAAAGGAGCCTTCATGGAAATAGGGTTGCAGCCTGGAGCAGGGAAAGAACAGAGGTCTGGGGGCAGGGAAAATACAAGCTGCATCGCTTACTAGCTGGATGACCTTGGGCAAGTCACTAAGTTTTCTCAGCTCTCAGCATCCCTGTCTGTGAAATTGGGGTTATGATAAATATAACAATGATACCTATGTTGCTGTGAGATTCACTGAAATATCAAATACATCAGGTTAGGTGCCAGGGCCAGACACCTATTTCCTTCACTGAGAATCTAACATGAAAAAATAAAGCAAATAACCAGTCATCTAGGAATGAACCCCGAAATGACTGCCTACCTTAACATCAAAGATATAATGAGAAAACCTCTTTTCAAAAAAATTTTAAAACCCTTAATTTTCTGTTACTTAGCTGTCATGATTTGGATAAACATCATTCAATCAGAAACGCTGTGGGTCAGGGATTAGGCTAAGAGCCGAGGCTACAAAATTCAATAAGATCATCTTTCTTGTCCTCAGGGAGCTTACTTCCAGGGCAAATTTACAAAAGTGCTGATTTCACAACAGAGTTACACATGATACCGTGGCTCTTTCTCTTCCACACCTCTGAATTTCACTCTGTTGTCTATTACACAAGAGTCAGTGACAGGGACTTCCCTGGAGGCACAATGGTTAAGAATCTGCCTGCCAATGCAGGGGACACGGGTTTGTGCCCTGGTCCGGGAAGATCCCACATGCCGCGGAGCAACTAAGCCGGTGAACCACAACCACTGAGCCTGCGCCCTAGAGCCCGCGAGCCAGAACTACCGAGCCCGTGCGCCTAGAGCCCGTGCTCCACAAGAGAAGCCACTGCAATGAGAAGCCCAAGCACCACAACGAAGAGTAGCCCCCGCTCGCCACAACTAGAGAAAGCCCCCGCGCAGCAACGAAGACCCAACGCAGCCAAAAATAAATAAATAAATGAATTAAGAAAAAAAAAAATGCACTATTTGAAACATCTTACTCCAAGTCTCCATCTGCTCTCTTTCCCCACCGCTCTCCTCCTCTGCCTCTTTGAACAGGATAAAATAACCACCGGGCTCGGTGAGTTAGAGCAGCTTCTACAGCCGGAGTTTAGGAATACTCAGCAGTTCACTGCTCTGATCCCAGTCTGAACTGCACACTTCACCGCCAAGCACCTTAAAAGCTCACATCCTTGGTCCCACCAGCCAACACTTGGCCTCCATCAGGGACCGTCAGCATTTGCTGAGAACACAGGGCAAATCACAAAACCCACTGATAAAGGAGGTTTCGGAGCAAACATATATTTAACTGTCTTAACAGAAACAGGAGATTTACACCGGTGGAGCTATTTACCAACCTGCGTATCACAATAAATTAAAACAATTGCTTTCAGGACAGCCCTCCTTACTTTCAGGTGACCTACCCCCACCCCCAACACTGCCTAAATCCTCTTTCCTGCAGCGCCAGCCCTCCTCCTCCTGGAAAAGATGGAGTCAGACTTGTGCCCCAAAGCTCACAGGACCCAGAAGCCTCTTAGAGCGGGCCCCGCCGCCAAGTGCTCAGATAGGACGCAGAGGCTGCGATTCCCTCGAAAGTGCCCCAGCGTGAGCAGGGCATCAAGTGGCCTCTCCTGACACGGAAAACCCAGGTGGTGGACGTTACAAAGGACCGGCCAGCAGGACACAGTGGTCCCTCCACGCAGGCCGCACTCAAGACACTCCTAAACTGCAGGTTTATCACTGGAAACGCCGAGGCCCTCTGTCTGCTCTGTGAGCCCCGGGGGAGACACGGAGGGCGCCCGGCTTTCTGTAACTGGGAGAAGCGGCAGGCGAGTCTGCAGCCTGGGCCACCACACCCTCCGAACCCCACTCTCCTCCCACGGAGCCCGGCCCAGAGCCTTTCGGCTGGGGAAAACCCGCTCCCACAAGCTAGGGGTCTGGGGGTCGACTGCACATCCAAAAAGTGACCAGAGCCGACACTCTATAATCAACGCAGCATCAACAGGGGCAGAGGCATCCGCGGAAAGCAGCAAGACTTCTAGAAACAAGCTAAGTGGGTTGAAAAGCAGCCCGGACCCACAGGTCTTGCTGCTCCTTCCAGAAGTTTTGGCTCCAGTTCCCAGCGCCTGGTGTGTGCGGGGGACAGGAAAGTGAACGACAGCAGGAGAAAGCGCTTTCGGGACCGGGAGGCGGGGCTCGCGGGTTCCAGCCCGCACCCAGACGTGGGGTCGCCTCCGGGCCACCGGCGGCGGGGCGGGCTGCGCACCTTGAGATAGTCGTTCTCCGAGCGCAGCTCCTCCATCTCCCGCAGCAGCTCCTCCGCCGCCGCCGCCGGTACCAGCCGGGGCTGCTCGCCCGGGCCGTGCTCCTTGGGGTTCCCGGGGACCGTTCGCTCTGGCGGAGCGCACCCCCCGGCATCCTCCGCCACGCCGGGCCCCGGGGACCCCGCGGGGACCCCGCTCGGGCTGCTCCGACCCCCGAGGCAGGCGGCGGGGGGCGCGGCGAGGAGCGGGAGGGGCGCGGAGCTGCCCGTAGGCGCCCCCCGAGCCGCGGGGCTCGTCGTGGGGGCTCCCCGCAGGGGTTCCCGGTCGCTGGAGCCTGTGCCGGACTCGGCGTCGCTGCTGGCGGCGGGGATCAGGCGCTGCTCGTCGGACAGGGGGTCGGAGGGACAGTCGGAGAGATCGGAGCTGCTGTCGGTGTGGCTGATGCGCGAGCCGGGGGCCGGGGAGCCGGCCGCGGGGGTCACGGCGAGGATCACGGCGGGGACCGGGACGATGGGAACCCGGGGGCCGGAGGCGCGGACGGGGACCACACCGGAGCCGCGTTTGGCTTTGCGGCCCTTGGCAGCGGCGGGCAGCGGCTCGGCCCCGGGCGGCGGCTTCCCGACCCGGGGCAGCGGCTCGGCGGGCGCCGCGCGCGCCGCCTTCCTGGGGCCCGGAGCGGCCTTGGCGCCGCCCGCTGCTCTGGCCCCGGCGCCCGGCGGCGGCTTGTCCTTCGCGCCGGGGGCGCCCGCCGCTGCGCCGGGAGACGCGGCCGGGCGCGGCCGGGGGCCCCGGCGAGGGCGGCGCCTTGCCTGCGAGGCTGGGCGAGCGCGGAGCGGCGGGCGCCGGGGCTCGGCCCGAGGAAGGGGCGGCCGGGCCGGGGGCCGCGGGCCGGCCGTGCAGGTCCTTGAGAAACGGTCTGGCGGGCGAGGGCGCGCGGTGCAGCCGCCTTCGCTCGGCCAGCGGGTGGAGATAGTGGTGGCGGTGGTGCTGGCCGGGCGGCTGCGGCTTCGCATCTGGGGCGCCGCCGGCCGCGGGGCCATTCAGCGTCTCCATGGCCGGGGCCCGGGCCGCGAGCAGCAGCTCAGGCGGCGGATGCTCCGGGCGGCGGCGGCGTGCAGCCTCCCCGCGCGCCCGCTCATCACTGTCCGCCAGCCCCGCCCGGTGTGCGCCTCGCACTCCCGCGCCGCCGCCGTCCCCCGCACCCCGGCCTCGAGGATCCCCGCGGGGCTCGCGGCCTCCGTCTCCCGGCTCTCCTCCGGCTGAGGTCACCCGCGTTCGCGTTCTCCGGGCGCGGCGGCGCGGCGGCTCCCTGCCGCTCGCATCCTCTGCGCGCGGCGCGCCGGGCTCGCACACCCGCCCTAGTCCAGCGGCAGCGACGCTGGCGGCGCGCTCCCCGCTCCCGCGCCTCGCTCCCCGCCCAGCCCGCTCCCCGCAGCACCGCCCGCTCGGGCCCGCGCCCCCCTCCCAGCGCGGGCCCGCCGCCCGGTGCGCATGTCCCGCCTCCCGCCAGCCGGCGCCGCGATGGGGGCGGGGCTGCGCTCCCGGACTGCGCGCCGGCTGTGGCCCCCGGCCCTCTCCGCCCTGGGACCCTTGTGCTTTTGGCGGCCGGGGAGGCAGTACGGGAGTTGGGAAGGGAGGGGGAAGGGGCAGAGGTGAACTGGGGGGGCGGGCGCTGCCCCCCGGGGTGGCGGCAACCTGGAGGTCCGGGAGGGTGCCTGGGCCCCAATGTGAGGTGCACTCTCGGGGCGTCGGCGTCCCCTCCGCGGAACAACGCCGCCCCACAGGCCCCCGCATCCAGGCCGGCCTCCCACGGCCCCTTAGTTCCACCCCACCGTCCTCTCCCTCAGGGCCGAAGTCTCCACCCTCCTTTAAGGAGTGCTGGGACCCGACGCAGCCACCTATCGGGTCCAAAGGCGCACGGGGCTCAAGAGTTGGCACCCCAGTGGCCTCTGGAGCTCAGAGGAGGAGCCGCTGTTGGAGTAGGAGAAGCATCTCGCCAAGTTTGGCGTCAGAAAGGGAACTCACATTTAGTGTCGGCTGCAAGCCAGGCCCTGTTAGACACTCCAGCAACTCAGGCAGCGGCATTGTTTCATTTCATCCTCATAACAAACCCGACTACGAATTACTTCTGTCTACTTGAAGGATGAGGACATGGATGCGGGAGGTGAAGTCAGTGCCGCAGCCAGTGCACGCTGGCTGGGACTCATGCCCGAGTCTGTGCAGTGTTCAGTCCTACATGCTGTCCCCTCGGAGAACCCGGAGCTTGAGCGCCGCTTCGACCACAGGAGATTCTAGCCTGGCTCACGGACCTTTTCAAGCCTCTGTATAATTAGAAAATGCCTCCACCTGAGTGTGGGGAGTGACTCAGCAAGGATGAGAAAACACTGTGTAAGCTGTAAAGTGCAGTTCTATATCACTGAGTGCAGCTTTTGTCCCAGGTGTTGGTTTGTAATAGAAAAGAACCTTCGTGTCCTATTACAAATTAATCACTAAAGCGATGTTGCCTATAAGCTTAAATTATACATAATGACCCGCCCATCTCTGGGAACCCCACCTCCCAGGGAATGAGCTTTAAGCTAAAACACCTTTGTTAAGCTCACAGGAAACCTCCTGACCAGGCCCACCTGTGAATGGCTGCAGGAAGGAAGAAATTAACACATTCCCCTCCAAGTTTGGCCAGAAACACGACTCTATCTCCTTCCCCTTTCAGTATAAAAGAATCCTGAATTGTAACTTGGAGAAGATGTCTCTTTGGGACATTAGGCCACCATTTCCTGGCCTGCTGGCTTTTTTTTTTTTAAGATTTATTTATTTATTTTTATTTTGGGGGGCTGTGTTGGGTCTTCGTCGCTGTGCGTGGGCTTTCTCTAGTTGCGGCACGCAAGGGCTACTATTCCGTTGCAGTGCACAGGCTTCTCATTGCGGTGGCTTCTCTTGTTGCAGAGCACGGTTTCTAGGCGCACAGGATTCAATAGTTGTGGCTCGAGGGCTCTAGAGCGCAGGCTCAGTAGTTGTGGCGCATGGGCTTAGCTGCTCCGAGGCATGTGGGATCTTCCCGGCTCAGGGCCCGAACCTGTGTCCCCTGCATTGTGGCCTGCTGGCTTTCTGAATAAAGTTGCTACTCCTTGCCCCAACAGCTCACCTCTGGATTTATTGGCCGGTTGTGCAGCGAGCAGTACAAACTTGGACTCAGTAACAGGATGGTGGGCAATACTCAGAGGAATAAGGGCCAGCCTGCCGTCTAGACTTGGCTTTGCTGGGAGGCAAAGGCGGGCAGTGCTTACAAGTTGCTGGGGTCGGCACGGACCCTGACCCCGGAAGGATGGGCTGGTCTAGTAGGTGAGTACCCAGGTAGGTGGGGCATTATCCTCGAGGCTAGGGGAGCCTTCGAGGATGCTGAGCATGACTGATCTCTACTTAGGAG